AACAGGACCACTCATTTTATGTGAGCACAAGAGGCGTATCAATACTTCAGAAGACACAGACACAACTTTTCTCCCACTGAGAAACAGTTGCACTCATTACCTGCTGTCTACCTTCCATGCCTAACATTTAACCTACTAAGAAGGCAAAACCAAATCAAAAGATACTTAAATCTCTGCACCGTCCCCTGCAACAGAAGCAGTGTATTTAAGATTGATGAGGCTTTTTCCATGCTCATGCACAGAAATCTCACAAATGTTTACAAACAAACCATCATCAGCTCCAAATGGTGTTTCTGCTCTGTTGATAGACTGACTGCTCATACTCTGAAGGATGCATCAGCTGAAACCTGACTGCCAATTAGTGCAACAGCCACAAATTCAGAAATTGGAACGTATTTCAAAACCATCACCAAGGTGACCTACTCTACATATTGCACGTACCTCTTTGACACAACCCACGCCTTTGAAACTCAACTGAGCAACTGGTTCTGTCATCACAGATGGTTGTAGATTGCGGCTCTGGTTTCTCATGACTCAGGAGTTCATAAATTTCAAAACACAGATTTTTACCCTCTAAGCATCAATGAGATGTTTGTGCAACATGAACTGCGCCGATGCATGCAGCCTAAACTCAGGTCCCTGCACACTGAAGACAACATCCATTTGCATATTTTGGAAGCTAAAAGATAAAAGTCACAGACAACTAAATTAATTTTGTTTGAAAGAAGGTGCAGGAACATGAAAATACCTGGCCTGGGATACTGATGCACTGAAAACACATTTATCTTTATCAGTGAGAGACAAGAAGGTGTTTTTGTATGTTTTGTGTTTTTAGAAATTATTGCTATTATATTCACTAGAGCTACTAGACGAAATGAGTAAGTAGGAGGTGAATCAGGATGCTAATGCAGAGTAGAATTGAGAACAAACAACAGGCCAAACTCTTACTGTTTTAAGAGGCTGTAAAGAGGTTGCTAAATTTAGAAACGTGGGACAGAAAGACCCTGTGATGGGGCCCAAGCCTGGCCAGCAACTCAGAAACTCACATTGTCTTATTATCTACCCCAGTCACTTTCCTATTTTATTCCAATATGAATCATGTGAATTCAGGGAAGACTTGGAACAAAAGTAATTTTTTTAGACCCTCCCACGATCAGCAGATTGGGGTAGGATATCCACTCAGCACATCTCCTCCCTTCAGGCCATTCAAAACGATGAACCAAGTAACATATCTGATTTTGGGGAACCCTCTGCAAAACACTTGCAAGCAGAGCAACAGGAAAAGGGCACAGCAACCACATGGCACAGTTTCGGTGGAGTTCAACAAGAAGTATATTTTCCACTCTCTGTTTATTACCTACAAGCAGCCAGCAAAGGAGGCAGATCAAGAAGTTCCGCTGGGGACAACTAACTAGTGGCTTGGAAGATAACTGACTGGGGGCCACAAAACTGCTGCAGAAGTCTTCTTAAAAACCATATACGCATTTATTCCATATGTCAATGGCTGTCTGCTGAGATATGCAGCAGCTGGGTTTTGAGTGCATTGTCACACTCATTCATCTTGTTCTGAACACTTTTAAATGCAATCCTTTTATGATGGTAAAGTTGGAATTTTGCAGGACAAAATAATTTTGCGCCCTTGCCAAACACATTTATCCGTGCTCTTCTGCCTGCCCCTTCCATCCTAGTCTCCAAACAGTAGCTAGGGACAAGCTTATCTACTCTTTTTCAAAATCATTAGGTGATCACAAAAGCTGAAAAGGTTTGTTGCATGACAGGGGCCCACGTACTGGGGACAAACACAGGTACACAGCTCTACTCTGGCAGGGAAGTGAAGAAAAAAGGGTCATGTTTCGAGACAGACCTAAGAGAGACAAAACCCCAGGAAAGCGAGCTAATTCCAGCTACCTGCCCGCAGAACACAGGAGCCTCGCATGTTAGCACTAACCTTTCAGCACTACAGACACACGCACACTAACGAACAAAATCATTCTACCTGCAACTCTGTCCAGCTGCTGCACCGCTCATCTAACCTGTAAAGCACCCCACGCCTGACAAACTCAGAAGTAAAATGATCTTCCCTCAAAAGATGATTTCTACTTCCATTCCTATCTGCCGCCCTCCAGAGAAATAAGAAACCCCTCAGCATTTCCTAATCCCAGTTCCTCACACATGGGCCTTCTTTATGGTCTACCCTGTACCTAGCCATCTTACTGTAAAACTGAAGGATGGCTCCCAGTTGTGGAACACCTGAGATACACGTCCTACTGAGGTAAGATCAGAATCTCCAGAGGCACTGCACAGGTGACTGGAGACCTTTCTTCAACTTCAGCATTCCTGTTGCTGTTCAGCCACAGTGCAAGCTCCTGCTCCCTCTTGCAAGCCTGCACACCCTTCCTGCAGAGACACAGACCTCTCAACACAGATATGTGAGGCTGCACTGTCCAAACAGAGGAGGTTGTTTTGCAGAGAGCCTGCAGGGCTTCACCACCAGAAAGCATGAACTCTTGGAGCTCCACTGCAGTCTCTCCTGCAGATTGATATGGGGTGTCACCAGGAGACTTAAATTCATCTACATGGAGATGCTGAGTCCATGCATCCCTCAGTGACTTCCATCAGACTGCACAGCATGTCAAATGAGGGCAGGAGGGAAGGGGGAAGGAGACAGGAGGAGAAGACAGCCCCTCTAACTATTTTGGGGGGGGTTTCTTTAGAAAAAGAAGTGTAAAGTAAGAGAGCTTGTCACTAAGTACATGCATGTTTTCATACTGCATGTTTTCATACAAATCTATAAATGGCAGTTAACATTAAAGTTATATGACCCCAAGTCATTTTGCAGGCAGGAAAAAAATATTCACTCCCATTTGTAGAGTTTGAAAGTTCAAATGCAGAACCAGAGTATTAACATGGCCACAGCACCTCAAATTTGAACGGCCACTTACAGTATCTTCAATAATTGAAGGTCTGATCTCAGGTCTGATTCTCTCTCATATTGGAAACTTATTTGCAAATACCTCTCCAGTAGCAACCGTTACCAACAGAAATTATTGGTGAGATCTAGAAGTAAATTGTCCCTGTCAGACAGCTAGTGCTGCTAACCAGCCTGGACTTTCCCTGGCAGGATGGTGAGGAGGGCTGCAGAACCCTTCCTTCCTGCTGGCCCCGGCTGGCAGCGCACACGCTGCCGTGTCTCTTCAGGCAGCTCCAGTTACACACCACTCCCATTAAATCTGGAGCACGCTTATCTCTGGCCTACTCTCATTTTTTTTTGTTTTCCAAGACTGCCCCAAATTCTCACTTTTCCCAAGCAGCACTTAAAGAAAAAGAAGATGCTTTCTGAAAAGTACTTTTTAAAAAAAAACAACAAAACCCACATGCCAATACCACTGTGCTTTATTTACAGCTGTGGTGGCGGCAGCAGCAATGTTTCATCATATTTACCATATGGAAGAAAGAACACACTGAAAAATACATATAACTCTCCCAGCACTGAATTAAACGATATATGAGTCTACAGTTAAGACACAACAGCGCCAGACACTGCGACGGATGACAAATTTACAATCAGCAATTCAAGTTACTGAAACTTGAAAGTCTATCGAAACCCACACACCGCAGGGCACGAAGCAACACCACAGCCATAACCCAGTATTTTCAATTAATACATTCATTTAGCTTAGGACAATTAAATGTACACGTGTTTTTTCCTGTGTAAGATCTATCCCTTGCTAAAATACAGCAGGGAAGCAACCTGAAATTTGTTTTGTTGGTTTGGTTTTTTTTTTTCTCTTTAAACATTTGCTTTATTCTGTTAGCTTTCCAGGAAGGAATACGTGCACTAGCAGCTGAACAGTAGGTGCACTGACACACATCTCTACAAAAAGGAGAAGCCAGACCATTCCAGGCACCTTTGGCATTTCTCGGGACTGCTACGAACATCACCACCACACACACAATTAGCCACACGCCACATTTAAAAGCCCGGCCTCTTGCTTGTCCAACCCAGCGGCAATCACTCAGCTGCTGCAACTTTCCGCAAAGTTTCACCAAACAGAAACATTCTCTTTCTTCCTGAAAGCTGGCCCAAAATAAACACCTTCCTCACAGGGATACCAGCTCACGGGTACATCTATTTTCTTCATGAGAAAAGGCCAGGCCATGCCTGGGACACGAGTTATCTTCCAGACCTGGGTTAATTAGAACTATTTTCAGAGACGAACTAAAAAAAATAATAATAATCCTGATTTCAGAGTTTATTGCATGTGATGCACAGTGAGGACAGCCTGAAAGAGTCACAACTGTTTCACAACAGGAAAAAAAAAAAAAGGAAAAAAAGAAGAAAAAACGTGATTTTTTGCTTTCCCCCCCTTCTCAGCTCACCGTCGCCACCAAAACTATGAGCAAATCCCACCTTTTTATCACGAAACGCTCCAGAAAACGCCCAAACGGCGCCGTCCCCCCACGGCCCCTTCCATTAACACACCCCACCACCACCACACACCGACCCCTCAAGCCAGGGAACGGCCATAACGGCCCTAACGGTCCCGCCGCGGGGGAACGGGGCGGCTTTCCCCGAGTTGAGCAGCTCGCCGGCCGGGCTCCGGCGGGGAAAAGGGAGCGGGCAGCGGCCTCCCCTTCCCCTGCGGAGCGGGGATTTACCCAGACAGGCCGAGCTTGCCGCCACCCTGCCGGGAGAAGGCCCGTCCGCCGGGTCAACGGCGGGCCGGGAGTATGTGAGGGGGCAGGCGGCGAGGGGAGGCGGCCATGGCCATGGCCGCCTCCCCTCGCCGCCTGCCCCCTCACATACTCCCGGCCCGCCGTTGACCCGGCGGACGGGCCTTCTCCCGGCAGGGTGGCGGCAAGCTCGGCCTCCCTCACGCAACCCGCCCGCACCGCGGCTCGGCCCCAACATGGCACCACCGCCACCGCCCCCCTGGCAGGAAACGGGCACCGCGGCCGCCCTCCTTCCCCACCCCCGGCCCGCCGCCTCGCTCACTTGCCGTGCTGGGCGCCGCCGGATCCCGCTGCGGGAAGAAAGAGGAGGAGGTGGAGAAGAAGAAGGAGAAGCCGAAGGAGGAGGAGGAGGAAGCGGCGGCGCCGGGGACACGCTAGCCGGACAACATGCTGCATTAGTCATTCATAAGGGAGGGGGCGGGCCCGGCGCCGCGGGGCAACCTGGGATTTGTAGTCCATCGCCCCTTCCGGGCCCGCTGGCTGCGAGGGGCAGCGGGCGGTTGTGGAACTACAGCTCCCAGGGCGGCCGGGAGGGCGCATGGGCCGCGGGGCCCGGTAGCGGCCGGTCTCCACCCCCCCCCCCCCCCC